GGGATGTTGCAGTGGGGCGAGCGCAAGCGTGAGAGGACCTGCGGGGGCAGGCATGAAGGAAGAGGGGCAGGAACGTTATCATTTATGGTGGTGTTGTGTAGGGATGACGGAAGATTCTGAACTGGGCAGTACTAGAATCAGAACTGTATAACAGGAAACGTCATTTTTCAGCCACTGTAGAATGAACTGGAGGGTTGGGGAAGAACCCTGAGGAAGTGACAAGGGTCTGAACCTGGGTTCCCAACAGGGTGAAGAGAAGTGATGGGAGACAGGCCTGGACAAGCAGAACTTGGTAACTGACTAGACGTGATAATGAAGGTTTGAACCTGGGTGCCTAGCAGATGGCAGTACCCTTCCAGAAGCCAGTAGACCATAGAGGCTGGGAAGTTACGTAAAGGAAGTGAACACATGAAATTGGAACACTGGGGAGAGGTTGGAGCTGGATATAAAGATTCGGGAAGTCATTCACCAGGAGAGCTGTTTGAGCTGGGAGAGTGGATAAGGTCATTAAGGGATAAAGTGTAGAAATGAGAAAAAAAGATGGCCAAAGGTAGAGCGCCAAAGAAAATCTACATTGGTGATTTAGACAATGAGAAAAAGCCTGAGAAATAGAGACAGCTCAGTACACTGTTACAGAAACCGAAGAAGCAGAGGGCTGCCGAGAGACACATAGAGGCAAGTGTGCTCTCTTGTCATTGAGAGATGTTAGTGAACAAGAAGGAAAAATAATCCACCTTTGCTTTAATTTTGTCATTGAGCCAAATTACTGTTTTAATTGGGATTTCACAATGCATCTTTTTGATGCTATGCTTTCACTTCTCTGCATTCGGGTTCCACTACATACTTTTCACTCTCAAGAGAGTTAAAAACTGATCACATTCTTATATGTAAGGAATGCAGTAGGAGTTCAAAACTGATGAAAAGGCCAGTCATCTGAGATCACTGATTTATCCCAAGTGTTAATTGGGACCTAATATGTACCAGGGACTATGCCATGCCCTGGGGACATAGTGGCAAATAACACAGAAGCAAATCCAGGCCCCTGTTGAGTTTACCGTCTTGTGTGGATGAAGCAAACAATAAACAGACTAAAGAAGGAAAATACACAGCATGTTTGCTGGTGACATGCGCTAGGGAGGAAAATGAAGGGGAAGGGGGTTTGGAAGAAGGGGTGTTTTCAGTAGAGGGGGCAGAAAAGGCCTGACTGAGAAAGTGACATTTGGATGACACCCTGAAGGGAGGTGGGGGTGTGGGGTTGTATAGATATCTGAGTGAACAGGGGGCAGCACATGCAAAGGCCCCGAGGTGGGAGCACGCCTGGTATGTTTGAGGTCTGGCAAGGATGCCAGTGTTGCTGAAGGGCAGCAAGCAAGAGAGAAAGGTTAGTAAGGTCTCAGGGGCCACATTGGGGCCCTGTGGTCATAGGTTGACTTTGGCTTTTCCTCTGAGCGTGAGGGAAAGCCTTCGGATGGTTTTGAGCAAAGGAATGAATAAGGACCGTTCTGGCTACAGGGGAAGGAAGGGGGCAAGGAGAAACAGGAAGATGAGCGAACAGGCTTCCACACATCCTGGGAAGCAGTGTTGATGGCTTGGACTAGAGGGGTCCCAGAGGAGGTGTGGGAAGTGATCAAAATCTGGATGATTTTTGAGGGTAAAGTAAATAGAATTGAACAGACTGAGAATGAAACTAGGGAGAAGGAAGAGTCAGGGATGAGTCCAAGTTGCTGTATTGGTCGGCTAGGGCTGCATAACAAAGTACCACAAATGGGTGTCTTCGGCAACAGAAATATATTGTTTCATGGTTCTGTAGGCTTGGCCAAGTTTAACGTGTCAGCTGAGTTAGTTCCTTCTGAAGGCTGTGAGGGAGAATCTGTTCCATCCCTCTCTCCTAGCTTCTGGTGGTTTCTTGGCCATCTTTGGCGTTCCTTAACTGGTACGAGTATTGCTCTCTTCATCTTCCACAGCATTCTCTGTGTGTGTGTCTGTGTCCTAATTTCCTCTTTTTACTAAGAACCCCAATCATATTGGATTAGGGATGACCCCTCTCCAAAATGACCTCATCTTAACTAATCATATCTGCTATGACCATATTTCCAAATAAGATTACACTCTGATGGAAAACTAAAAATAAAATTACCGTATGATCCAGCAATCCTACTCCTGGGCACATATCTGGACAAAACTATAATTCAAAAAGATAGATGCACCCCCTATGCATGTTCGTAGCAGTACTATTCACAATAGCCCAAACATGGAAACAACCAAAATGTCCATTGACAGATGAATGGATGAAGAAGATGAGGTACATATCCACAGTGGAATACTACTCAGCCATAAAAAAGAACAAATTAATGCCGTTCGCAGCAACATGGATGCAACTAGAGATGATCATACTAAGTGAAGTAAGTCAGAAAGAGAAAGACAAATACCACATGATATCACTTATACGTGGCATCTATAATATGACACCAATGAACCTATCTGTGAAGCAGAAACAGACTCGCAGACATAGAGAACAAATTCGTGGTTGCCAAGGGGGAGGTGGAGGTGGGCAGGGATGGACTGGGAGTCTGGGGTTAGTAGATGCAAACTATTATATATGGAATGGTCGGACATCAGGGTCCTACTGAATAGCACAGGGAGCTGTATTCAGTATCCTGGGATAAACCATAATGGAAAAGAATATAGAAAAGAATGTGTGTGTGCATATATAGATATAGATATAAATGAAAAACTGAGTGACTTTGCTGTACAACAGAAATTAACACAACGTTGTAAATCAGCTGTACTTCAGTTTAAAACAAAAGGTCACCCTCTGATGTCCTAGGGGCTATAGCACTTCAGCATTGGAATTGGAAGTGGGGTGAAGGACACGGTTCAGCCCATAGCAGTTGCCATTGACTGAGCCAAGGAAAGTGTATTTGGATAGAAGAGGAGGAGCGTTCCAAAGACCAGAGTTAAGAGACTCTTCAGTTAGAGGACCAAGACCAAGGCTCACAGAAATGTTAAATACAAATCCCATGTATGCTTGCAGTTGTAAAAGAGCACTTACATGTTAATGATGGTTTTTAAGTTGTCTTCTAATTGTTTATGCAGTCATGGTATTTCCCCGTGAAGCGCAAGGGAGTCAGAGTATGGATTGAATTTTATTGGCCAGTATGCCGAAGAAGTTACTGGGGCCGAAATGGAATGTTTTGAATGTGCCATAAAGAAGTCAAAGGACGCTAATAAAAATAATAAAGAGCGCTTTTCTCAGAAGGAGAAACAACTTTGGAGAACATTGTTTCAGCCTTTGATTTAAGAATTCATTTTTCTAGAAAGTCAGTCATGCTGCAGTGCTCTGAGCAGCTGCATAGTTTGTTCCTTCATCTGTTTCTGGTGAGAGTGTAGTTAACACTTATAAAATCAATTTTAAAAAATCATGAAGGCAATAGTATCACATTTAGCTAATTGGAAAAACAGGAATCATCACCGTAACATAACCATTCTAGCCTTTTCATACGTTTTCTTTGAGTTTTTATGTTCCTGCTGTTTTACATGGAGACAAAAGCTAGGACAACAAGGTGATGGTGCCGACATACAAAAAAATCTACCCAATGTTTTCTGAATACGTTCAGCTCAAATTTCTCTCACATTCCAGCTCGCGTTGCACATTCTGTTTGCTCTGCCCCTGTCTTTGTCTGGCTGCCATCTAGTCGTGCTTCAAAACTCAGTTCGGCTGTCACCTTTGGGGAAGGCTGCTGACTGGTATATTCCTAGCTTTCCCAGTATGGAAGGCTGAGCCTACAATGTGCCGCCATATTACCCCGCACCTAAGCACATACCATAATGCTGCATGTCTCCACCAACTTTGAGGACAGGGACTGAGCAGTCTATATTTATTTCCTCAGTACCTTGCACGGGACCTGTGGGTAGATATTCAATAAGTGCATCTGGGCTAGGAATGAAAAAAAAAAATCGAATTCTTTGCCTGCTTGGCACACATCGGTCACTGAACTATGAGACCTTATTAGAATTTAAAACAATTTTGTTCAGATTGTGCCATAAACCGGCACAGGAATATGTAATATAGCTTGAGAAGAGTCTCCTTTAAAAGTATTCATGTAGGACTTCCCTGGTGGTGCAGTGGTTGAGAGTCCGCCTGCCGATGCAGGGAACACGGGTTCGTGCCCCGGTCCGGGAAGATCCCACATGCCGCGGAGCGGCTGGGGCCGTGAG